GGTTTTTAGGTATGCGACTGAGCATAGATGTGGGGTGGTCGTGAAAGGACCAAAATTAAGTGGAAACATCTCAGGAACTGACCCTTTGAAGGATAACCGTCTGCTTTTACAAGCTCAGGCTCTCGATGATTCTGATGAAGCAAAAAACACAGCTGATGTTGTTAACGAGCTATCAAGGGAGATGTCTCGTATTTTGGTTGCTCATCCCGTGAATGCAAAAAGAGCTGCTGAGGGGAAGAATATTGCTAATGTCGTCCTTTTACGAGGTTGTGGGATTCGAATTGAGGTAATCCATGATCTGTCTGTATTTCCCTTGGCTCTCTGTTTTGTAGAATATAATAATTCGGATTAAATATCTGATGGAAGAAAAAAAAAAGTACTAAATGTAGGAATTACAAAACTAGCATGAGATTTACTCTAAACATGTCCATTCTTTGTTAACAAATATTATCTAAAAAAATTCAAGCAAACATTAGGGGCATTGGCTGTTTAAAAAGTTAACTAATAAAAGGAAAATGGCCTGAACATAGTTGCTTCCTGCTCCTCTATGTTTTAGAGTATTAACAGTTGTAGCTCAATTTGAATGGAAAGTCGACTTAAAGTTGACCTTTGCTTAGAAAGTCCAGACGCCTTTCAACGTTAGCTATACACCTTCAGTAGTTTGAATTTACTGACATATATCATGTGAGCAAACTTGAAAAACTAGTGGTTACTTATTTCGTATTTTCTCCTTTTCGAAAATAGTAATAAATTGATCGAACCCTGTTTTCATTTTCTTTTGTAATGATCCCTTTATTTTACACAAACAAGGTTCCACAGTTTGAAAAGATACATGGTTTGCGGCCATGTATGGTTGCCCCTACCAAAATTATAGCTGGATTGGGCTTATCTCTTGATATTGACATTCTAGAAGTTCCCGGGGCCACAGGAGATTACAGGACCTTGTTAACATGCAAAGCTGCCGCAATAGCCAGTGCACTATCGGCTCCTTTTCAAGCGTGCCCCAATATCTTTGTCCCTGGGGAGGATGAACATAAACCTGGTCAACCCAATGGCTACGATTTTGGTTTCCTTCACATTAAGGTGATCTTATTACCAGACTCTACATTTAGTTTTTGTTACTTGCATAATTATGCTATGTGTCCGTTGAAAGCTTGTTACTTGTTGTGTTCTGACATTTGCTATGAGAATATCTTTCATTCTTGTTATTTCAATTATATAAAATGTCTACACATTTTCCAAACACGTCACAACCTGAACTTTCCTTAAATGCAGGCAATAGACGATGCTGGTCATGATAAAGCGAGTGGCTTCAAAGCCAAAGGATTGGAGGCTGTCGATCGGGCCATAGGACAGCTGGCGAAGCTCCTCTGGCAAGCCGAATCGTGCTCTTCTGGTGCTTTACAGTACTACATTTGCGTAACGGGCGATCACTCCACGCCCGTAGAGTACGGGGACCACAGCTTCGAACCCGTCCCGTTCACTCTCTGCCGTTTGAAGGACTTTGTGGGGGCTGTAGGTGGGGATTCCCACCTTCTAGAAACTTCTCTGGACCCTTTCCCTCTTCCTAGTGTTGAAGAAGGCAGTGATGGCCTGGAAAGTGGTTATGTGAGCCATGAAGAGAAACCAGGAGGGGCATTTAAGGGTGATGGTGTTTGTGAGTTCAACGAGATAGCTGCAAGTAAGGGGTGTCTTGGGAGGTTTGATGGGAGCGAGATGATGGGGATTATTAAGGGATTTCTGAAGGTTTGATGACCGAAAATTTGGATGATTACAACATTTTTCTATTCAAGAAATATGCTAATTGGAACTGTAGCTCGGAAGTTCTTCGGCCCCAAATATTCTAAAATCTGGAAAATTCGAGGCTGCCCATGTGGGCACACTGCCCACATGGGTTTTTTTACCATTGATTTCACACACCCATGTGGGTGTGTTTGTGTTTATGTGTAGATCAATGGTAAAAAAGTGCCCACATGGGCAGCATCGAATCTTCCCTAAAATCCATTGGTTCCTGACATTGTCTCTGTGTAGGAGACAAAAACAATAGACCCCAAAAAAAAATACATGGATGGATTATATCATCTCTGTCCAACAGTTCAGAAGACAGTGCTGAAACCCAAACATGGTTCTTAGCCACCCAAGGAGGTCCAGCTCCCCAGCTTTGTGCCTTTGTTGCTCGAATGATTATGGCCACATGAATATACTTTCGGGGAGATGCTACAGTCTGTTACGGAATCATTCCGTTGGGATTTGTAACCGTTAAATCAAAATGTAACTGTTGGAGATAGTTGAACTAATGATTATAAACCCCGACGGAATAGTGATCATAGCATTTTCCATACTTTAGTTTGATTTTAAGTTAAAGAGTGTAAAAAATTATCCAATCAATAAAAACGGGATAATTTTTATAGGCAATCAACCAAAATGGTCTAAAAAATTCAGGCCAATCCTAATATCAAGGCAAATCAAGTTTAAGTGTGTAACACATGAGCTATGCCAAATTAGTAATGTACAAAGTTCATTAAATTCCAGTATTCCACCCTCATTTCAAGGAGAGTTTGGGCCGAAGAGTAATGGTTATAAGTTTAATCCACTAACAAATCAAACTAAGAAGTAAGTTTGGACCAACAGTCCATTTGTAGCCCAATATTCAACGAGGTGTCAGCCCAATAAAACAAACACATACCCAGCGGACTCAGGAATTGGCTTTTCTACAGAGGACAAAAACCAAACTTTGACCTGAAAAGCCCAACAATTTTCTACTTTTTAAAAGGGGAATTTTTATTTATACTACATGATTTAGAAAAAATTATAATTTTACTAGGGGTCAAATTTTATTTGCAAGTTTACTAATTTCATGTTAATTAATTATACATATACACTACAACAAAATATTTTTAGTTACCATATTTAATGTAACCACCTCCTCAAATGATGGGATTTTCAGTTACGAGTATATTGCGTGTCAATTTCTTTCTATCCCAATTCCACGCAGTATATATTGCGTATATATTAAGTATATAAACTAATTAATATATCCGAAAAAACATGTATTATCTTCGTTTTGAAACTGGTTTATGTATATATGTAGTATATTTTCTGGGTTTTTTTTTTCCGATCTGATGTTTATATATATATATATATATATATATATATATATATATATGTATATATATATTGGGGTTTATATAAATATACCTAACATTATATCGAACATATACTATTTTTTGGAATTATATATATGTATACCGAACATATACTATTTTCTGGAAATATATATATATATATACCGATTATATACCGAACATATACAGAACATATACTGAAAATAATTTCAGATCCATGCGTCGAGTTGTTCGTAATTCTCATGAATTTCATTCCAATTTCGATCTTCACCCGTCTGTTTGTTGAACGACTCGTAGCCGTCGTCTTCTTCATACTTGGGCGTCGTTTCCCTTCATCCTCAGTGTGCATCTATACCAGCACCGCAACTGGGAGATTCACCGGTTATTGGAGGGATTTTGGTTTTCACCATAGAAATTGGTTCTAGGGTTTAATAAGAATGAAGTTGAGAAGAGGATGCATCTGTCGTCAGATGATGGTGAATCGATCCTAGACAATCGGACTTCAGAACTCAACCGATCAAAAAATGAAAAAGAAGAAAAAATTTAGTTGGAGAGGAAGAGAAAAAATAAGCGAAGAATTGTAGAAAAAAAGAAGAAGAAGAGACTCAAGAGAGAGAGTGAAAGAGTGCGTGAGCATGGAGATGAGAAAGTGTTCTGAGAGATGTGAATGTGGTTTTTTTAATATTGGTAACTGCTCCCATTAACTAAATATTAATTGAAGATAATATATTTTATTGCCTAAACTAAAAGTCCGGTTTGTAATTAAAATGACATGAAAATCTAAATTTGCTAAAGTTTTTTATCTGATAGTAAGCGTGTAAAAAAATTGTTGGTTCATTGTTCCCTGAGTAATTTCCTCTTTTTAAAACCGGAAAATTCTGGAAAGCCCGATATCGTCCGCGTTGTTTTAGATATTCTCATATTCATTCATTCAACCATCCTCCATTCATATTGTTCAATTTTCTGCCCAGAGTCAACGGTTCGCGCGACTGATCAGCCAACGAAGGTGAGATTTTACGCTCTTGCAGACATTTCTTTTTCCTTTTTAATTGTGGTTTGATGCATTAGTGGTTGTAATTGTTTCGGATTGATCTCTAATTAAGGTGTATGCTTGGCGATTTTTTTTTTTTGGAGAATAGAATTATGGGTAAGATTGTAGATTGTCAAGCTTGTGAAAGAATTGCGGGGAGATTGATTTCTATTTGTGTTGGTGTTATGGTGAATGTATGTCTCTTCCCGTTGTTGATTTCAAATTAGGGTTCTAACGTTATGAAATTGGGGGTGTTTTGGGGGAATATATATTTCTGTTTATCTTGGGGTTTTGAAGCGGATGTATGTCTCTTCCTGATGCTGATTTCGAATTAGGGTTTCTGAACATTGTGAAAATTGGGGGTGTTTTGAGGAATCGATAGACTTTAAATTGGGGGTTTTTTGAGGGGATCGATCGAATTGTAAAATTGGGGGTGTTTTGAGGCAATAGATAAAATTTGTTCGCATTGAAATTTGAAGGTTTTATTAAGTTTGACGCTTAGATTCAGAGCTAGCAGAATTCTAGCAAAAGTTTATTTTTTTGTTTTGTTTTGTTTTGTTTTGTTTTGTTTTGTTTTATAGAGCGGAAAGATGAAACAAAGTTGCTGCAAACAGATAGATCTTTTATTTGTATTAATATGATGAATCTTTTAGCTTTGATCACATTTGGTTGCTAGAAATTGAAGATTGAAATTTCTAGTATTCATAGATACTTAATTCATATTAATATGATTATCCTTTTAGCTTTGATCGGACTTGGTTGCTAGAAATTTAAGATCGAAATTTCCAGAATTCATTTTGTCTCTTCTTTCTGCAGCATCCCGATTTTTTAACCTACGAAAATAAATGGCCGAGCCCCACATTCCATCCGACCACGCACCACAAAGTTCATCTTCCTCAGGAACTACTAATGCAAACGAGGCTGTAGAGTTCGAGTGCAACATTTGCTTCGATTTAGCCCAAGACCCAGTTATCACGCTTTGTGGCCATCTCTACTGCTGGCCGTGTCTTTATAAATGGCTCCGGGCCCATTCGCGGGCCCAAGAGTGCCCGGTCTGCAAGGCCCTGATAGAGGAAGAGAAGGTGATCCCTCTGTACGGCAGGGGCAAGACACCGACCGACCCAAGGTCGAAGCCCGTGCCAGGTGTTGAAATTCCAGTGCGGCCCGCGGGCCAGAGGCCAGAAACCATGCCACCTCTTGAGAATAATAACTTTGCGAACATGCTATTTAGGCTCATGGGCGGGTTTGCTCCGATTACATCTGCATCTTTCAATAGTTTCGGGATGTATGCAGGTTTTGGGGGCATGTTTTCTCCTTTCTTCAGTGTTCAGTTTGGCGGGTTTTCGGATGCGGGCGGGCATGGAGCCCCATCTGGGTACCATCACGGGTTTAGCAATAACTCGCTTGGTAGGGAGGCCAGTCGGGATGCTCGTGCAGATGATGAGAATTTGAAAAAGATTCTTTTTATGATCATATTTTTCGTAATTATAGCTCTTTTGTTGATATAGATTGGAATTTGAAGGGGAATTCGAGTGTCGTGAGACATTTGTTTTCTTTTTCCTGATATGATGTGGGTGTGTGAATTTGATTTAAGAGTGGTTACTTGTAAATTTGGTTTCGGAACTAGAATGCGTGCGACTTTTGATGAAGAAAATCGGATGCTTATAACCGGATATAACTGTATGCTTCTGTTGTATGATGATTTGCTATGATTTGTGCATGTAAAGCTATTCGTACAACTAAATATGTTATACAAGTGTTGATTTCCAAATATTCAGACCATAACTGTTATTAGTATGTGGCTTTAAAAATTTATTAATATAGCATAAGTGTAGTTGGTATCCTGCACATGTTATGTATTCTTGGCTGAGTAACATCACAGTTTTACTTACTTTTCTCCAAGTTTTGTGTGCAGACTTTTGTTGTGGCTAAATCATTTTGTTCTTTTTTTGGAACTATTCTCAGTGTTCAATAATACATCATGTGGAAGAACATGGAACTGTGTAGTGTTTTGTGAAAAAAATTTGAGTGATAAGTGCTTTTAATGGACCCATTAATAATGATATGAAGAAAATTTGACCCAAAATAAATAAATAAATAAATAAAAAGTCTCCACCTTTTCAGTTGGGAGGCTACAGTATTTATGACCTGAGCATGTGATTTTGCACATGCAAAATTATTGGAGAAATAAATCAAATCAAATCAAATTAAAATTGTACAATTAATTTTGCACAGGAAGTTCTAAAATGTCCATTTTTTCCAAATAAATTGATGAAGAGAGTGTTAAATTAAATATGATTAGGCCTCCCACCGCAAATATCGATAAAAATTGTGATAAAAATCATTCAAAATTTATTGTGTTTTGGTGATATGGGCAAAAAAATTGATGAGAGGACTTTAAAGTGAATGATCAGCATGTGCCATTAACTTTGTCAAATCTCTTTTCCCATGTGTCGTGTAGTGTCTCTACTTGTTCGGACAATTGGCTCAAACCCTAAAAACTAGCTTTGACAAACCACTAATAAGTATGTCATACTATAAATATATGTATATAAATATAATACTACCTCCTTTTCAAAATAAGTGTCGTTTTGACTTTTTTGATTCATCCATTTTACTATGTATCTAGACATAAGATGTCTGGATACATAGTAAAATTCATCTTATGTCTAGATACATAGTAAAATGGATGAATCAAAAAAGTCAAAACGACACTTATTTTAAAAATGAGGGAGTAAATTTGAATTTTTATGCATAGGTAATTATAAAATTGGCCCTGAAATCTAGGGTCTTTGATACTTGTCATACTCCCTCCGGTATATAATATATGTAGACATGGCCAGGTGCCGGGTTTTGGCCCGGCCCGGCCCGGCCCGGCCCGGCGGGCCACGGGCCAGCCAACCCACGAACCGCAACCGGCCCGCCAAAAAGTAAGGGCCGGTTCATAGAACCGGCCCGAACCGCCGGTTCACCGGCCCGGCGGTTCGGCCCGGGTTCGGCCCTTAAAAAAATCAAAGGATTTGGCCTGGCCCGGCCCGACCCGGCGGGACAAAACAAAAAAAACCGTGACCCTTAACCGGACCGGATTGGCCGCGGTCCGGTTCTCGAACCCGACACTATTCATGCCGGTACCGGTACTGGGCCGGGCCTGGCCGGTACCGGGTCACGGGTCGGGCCACGGGCCGGGCCGCCCGTGGCCATGTCTAAATATATGTAGAGAAGTTGGACAATAATTAAGATTTTTTTTTTTGCTAATAATAACTCAATTTAATGAAGATAGAGATTGATGTTTTGGGAGAAAGATAGAGAGTGAATATGAAAAGACGTAGGTTGTGTTTATTAGCTAAGTTAGGGTAATAACGAAAAAATATGTACAAAATAATCAAAACGTCATTTATTTTGGTTAATAGTGGATAAAACCAAAATGACATTTAAATAGAATAGAGTATCTATTTAGACGGAATTGTTAGTTAATTTTGTTTGTTCAAACACGAATTCTTATATGAGTTAGTCTAATCTACGCGAGTCAACTCGTCATATTTTTCTTTTTTTTTTATAAAAACCGAATACTTATGTTATGATATGTCATAATTTTATTTTTATTATTTTTTTAAGTATGGCGATTTATTTTTAAAATATGTATATATGTTGAGAGAGTATAATTGCCTAAAAGTAGCTTTATTGAATAATAAATATGCATTAGCTTATGATCAGATGTCATATTTTAGTATTATTTAAAGAATCGGAGAATATGCTAGATTTACTTATTGTATATAGAAGGTTAGCTCCACTATGAAATCAACTGTTGGCTTCATAGCAAAACCGCATGTATTTCTATTTATTTAAATACTACTCACAATAGAATTTGTGTATATTCCGTGTAAGGTTTAAGGTCTATGAACCATATGATTGAAGATATTTTGTACAATTGAAAACAGTTGATGAAGTTACTGTATTTGCTATAAAAGTATAATCTTGATAAGAAATTTCACTAATTTGACAAGAAGACCAATGAAATTGCCATTTTCCAAAAAAGAATTTTGTTTTCTTCTATGGATATATAATCTAAATATAAAATAAAAATCATTGCAAAATATTTTATTTTGTCTAAAACAGAATTGAACTGAATATAAAATTGAACCAAATTATTCATTAAATTAAATACTTTATTCTATAGCCCTTTTTTTGTCTGCTTTTTACTCCTCAGCAAATATCAAATGAATTGTTTCTAACTCCATCACATGGCAAAAAAGGAAAAATAAAATAT